AGAGCCAAGATACATCATGTAAAGGTACAAGATCCCAATGATGAATGTAAAAAAAATATATATATATATATATATACACATATACATACGTATATGTATATGTATATATATACATACATGCGTATATACTCCTCACATGTCTGTATTCAACACTGTTGTCTGAATTCAAGAACTATACGTCACCTTGTTATGACTCTTTAAAATCATGCCTTTGTCAACTGTCCGATTTTTATTTCATTAACCTTACTTTCTCCCACTGAAGCTGTCGGCATTTGATACAAAAGGGAATACTAAGATAAACATGCTGAGGGAAGATAATTTATCTAAAGTGGGACAGCTAATCATATGTTTAAAAAATACTTTAAAGGAAAATATTTTATATTCCTTAAAAGATAAAAGAACCTCAGTAGATACCAAAAATATCCTAATGACATACACTGCATGTCTTTTTTATACATAAGTGGGGCTAAAGGTGTATCAGTAGTTGAGCACATGTGTGTTGTAAGGCTCTGCGTTCAATCTCTCAAACCTCAGAGAAAATACAGTAAGAACTCTTAAATACTCTAAACATGCCATGATTCTAAGTCCCCAAACCTTAACCCTTTAAAGGCCAAAATTTTAACCCCTTCTTAGTAACTGTGCCAAACAATAACTCCTATCTTATCTAGTTTGTGTGCATGAGGCAGGTATCTGTAGAGAAATTTATGATCAGCTGTCACTATTAGTATACATGTGGCAGACTTTTCTAGCCTTCACTTCCAAATATCTACTTTACAAGTGCAAACTCAGATAATCACGGTTCAATTTATGAGTTTTTTGTTTTGTTTTTAAAAAACATGGTCTTGCTGAGTAAGTTGGGCTGGCCTTGAACTCACCATGCAGCCCACACTGGTCTTGAACTCACAGCAATCCTCCTGCCTCAGCCTCCCAGAATGCCGGGATTACAGGTGTGAGACACCACACCTGGAAAGGTTAAATTTATGTAAGCTAAAAACTCTTAAACATAGATTGTGCTTTTACTCATAGTATGATAAAATAAATTCCTACCTGAAGACTAATAAAAATTTAGTACACTGGCTCTATAAGTATTTCATCAGAGCCAGTTGTGGGGGCACACACCCATAAACCCTAGCATTCTGGTTGGCTGAGGCAGGAAGATCACAAGTTCAAACCTAGCCTGGGCAACTTAGTGACTTAGCAAGACCCTATCTCAAAAAATTTTTAAAGGGCTGGATATGTAGGTCAATGTGAAGGCCCTGGGTTCAAGCTCCAGTAGTGAAAGAAGAAAAACAAATAAACATATATATACATATATATGTTCAATGGCCTTTTAATTTCAGATTCTCAGCTCTGAAAGTGGTTATATTAATCAAACTTTCAATCTGTCAATTATATCATCATTGTTCAATATTCTATTTCCATATTATCATCATTATAGTACTACAAACTAACAGGCTTACTATCTATGAAGTCCTTGAAACCAAATGCAGTCATAGTGAATATGCTTAACTTCAATTCGTCCTACTGTCCCTAAAGGCAAGCAATTACACTCTGGTGTGTGAAGGCCAATAAGGGGTTCCATTATGCGGAATCCTTTTACCTTTTACCTTAAGTAAAGTGGAATCCATGGCATACTTAAGAGACTTGAGAGACAGAAAGTTCTGCTACTTAACCACTTTCAAGTCCTTACACAGCTTTTGTTTAAATAACCACAGAACCAAGATTTTGGAGTGTGAAGAGAAAGAAACTAACTTTGATTTTGGCAACAGATATTTCAAGAGCATGAAAGTTTTCAGAAATGTGTCCAAAATAAATATACTAGACCACAGTATAGCTTCACTTTTCTAAATACTGGCTTCCTACAGTAAGAATTTTTTCAATATCTAAAATATTAAGATGAAAGTAAAGTTAGCCCCCCTTTGGAGTGGGTTATGCCTTTTAAATAATATTTCAGAGAACCTTGACTATAAATTTTGATACAGGTGTACTTCTATGGAACCTAGAATGATGACCTTGAATACATTTCATGCTGTTTTCTTATGTAGAGCCTAACCACTGTAAATTTCACTTTTTATCTACTCTTCTATTAGAAGTGAACATTATTAAAATTTTAAACTATGGGTCAATTTTTTTTTTTTTTTTTTTTTTGGTACCAGGGATTGAACTCGGGACCTTGCGCTTGCAAGGCAGGCAGCAGAACCACTGAGGCTAAATCCCCCGCCCTATGGGTCAAGTTTTTAAAAATTATATTATCTTTAGGCTATTGCTTGAGGTGTCTGGAAACAAATTACTACTCTCAGAGTTCAAAATCCCTACCTTGCATATCAAATAAACAGTAAGATAGTGAATTAAATAAAATTAAAGGGAAGAATGTATAAGAAAGCTTTACCATAGAGTATGCCCCAACAGGAAACTGAGTATATATACTTATTCCTAATCCTGAATCAGAAGTAAACAGCATACTTTTCTTTTTAACAAAGGAGGTTTCAGAAAATGAAAGATCTTAACTAATGACAATGAAAAAAAAAAAAAAACCTCACTGGGGAATCTTACTCTATCTGTCAAAGCACTTAAACAATTTAAAACACATACTTAATTTTTATCATAGTCAAAGATTTAACTGAAAGCTTAGTCTAAGTGACTTTGTAAACCAGCACTGATTCATTTATAATTTATAATGAACAATTTATTAGTGGATTGTCCTCTTTTTTCTTCTTTTTTTGGATTGCCCTCTTGTTACTGCTCACTCAACTTAATAGTTCAACTGATGGTTGCTATCCCCTTTTAGGGGCAATGAAACCAGAATGCTCTGTTTATTCTCCCGTCTCCAGGTTAATTACTGCTATGGTTTAGATCTAAAAGGGCCCCCAAAGCCTCATGTATTTGGAAGATGACTGGATTATGGGGCGGTACAGCTGACTTGTCAGGTGGGGTCTGGTGAGGAAGGTGGATCACTGGAGGCAAGGCCTAGAAGGGTATATGTACCTCCATCCCCAACCCACTCCTCCCTTCACACTCTGCATCCTGTCCTGCCACACCACAAGCAGCTCTTCTCTGAACTGCCATCCAGCCCTGGAGCTTGCCCACTATGAACTGAAACCTCTACAAATTGTAAGCCAAAATAAACCTTTTCTCCATTAAAGTGCAGCCGTTGGGCATTATGTCCCAGTGATGAGGAAAATGACTAAGATAATAACTTTGTTTAAACAATGCCACAATTCTATCCCACTGTGCCTAGCCTGTTAACAAAATTTAAGATAGTAGTACACAGCAAATAAATACTTTCTTTTGAAAAGCAATTTCACTTCAATAAAATATACCTATTCAAAGGAATACAAAGCAAGGAAAAAAGTACATTCAAGAAATGTGTTGACTACAACACTATGTATGTTATCAAGTATTTTCAACAAGGGTTAAAAAAATCAAGTTCAGCACTATCTAGTAGAGTTGAATATGTGCGGTCTATAACCTAGTAATTTCACTTCTCAGAACATATTCCAAACCCATTAACATGTACATCATGGTAAAACTTAAGATTGTGCTGAAAGATGCTCTTGGCATGGTAAGGAAGAATGGAGACTAATATTTACACATTCTGATTTCCTTAGAGAAAACCAGTACATTATTGAACTCCACAATTCAAGTATAAAATCATGAAAAATCACTCAAATGAAACTTCCTATTTATTCAACAATATCTCTCTGCCAAAAGCAAAATCCTTTTTTAAAAATCAATGACAAAGGAAACCAAGATACACTAAATTCAACACAGATTAAATCCTTAATTGGCTGGTAGAGAAAAATATGCTTTCTTATGTCATTAATCAATGTTCCTGTAAACATACACATTTACCAATCATACTAACTCAGCAAAACTCAAAATACTTTTTCCCAAAATGCATTTTCACCTTTCCTTAGTCCCTCCTTGGCAAAGGTTAGTTTAAGTTTTAATCTAAATTAAAACAATTTCCACGTATACTATTTCAAATTCAGCTGGTGTAACAAATCTTTTCTTCCCTTCTCCTAGAACTCAGCCAGAAAATCAGCATAAAGTCAGTTCTCCTTTCCACAATTAAGGAAAATACAAGTGAAATACAGAACTTTGAAAATCCCAGTTATGTAAAATCAATTATTTCCAATGCACATAAAGGACAGTGAATAATTTTGATTGCTACTATTAACAACTAATGTTAGAAGTATTTTAGATATAGCTAATTTTTTACTAATTTCTACATATTAACAAATACCAACTCAGAGTGCAACATGATTAAAATGAACAATGAATTTTTATTTATCAATTTATAACGGGGCTTATAATGAATTAATATTTACTTCAAAGTATTGAAACTAAGTCAGTGTAATTCATTAAAAATCCAAAATGTGCTGTTTCTTACTTATTTACACTCTAGGAAGTGTTTCAGTAAAATCTAAACTCACACTTTTAAATTAGTTCATAGTAAATTAATAGCAGGAATGAGAAAATATAATTCTAAATTTCCATCTACACTTAAGCTGTGAGATCTTAGCCAAGTTATAGAACATAAAATCAAAGTTCCCCAGCTATATATAAAATGGAAAGATATTATTACATCTGTTCTGGTTATTCTACAAGAAGAAATAAAACATCCTATGTGAAAATTCTCTGAAAAATATAAAACAAAAACCAGACAGAGGAGTCAATAGTAATAAATAGACACTATCCTCCAAGAGTCAGAAAAAAGTTTGATCTATTCTCCCTGTAAGGTTTTCTTTAAAAGGTATGCATTTAAAATTCTTTAATTATAAAAAAATTAAAAGACAAATAAAATGAAATAGAAGAAAATAAACTGACAAAATCTGAATAATACAGGGAAATTATCCAAAGTAGCGGGAAAATACAATACTGTGAAATAATTAATGAGAGGCAGTATCAACTGTAAAAACACTAGACTAAGTGAAACTTATGCTAGGTAACTAACATATGGTAATGTATCAACCGCAGTTAATACTTCTCAGACTTACCTCTGCCCACTTAAGAATACAGGTCATACAGAAGACATGATTACAACTTTCTGGAAAACCAACTTCTTTCTCTAATAGACAAGTAAGACATATTGGACATCTGTCTGCTTCGCTGTACAACAGACCAGTGGCAGCAGTATTATTTCTGCTTCCTTCACCTGTAAAATAAAATAGCCATATGTACTTTCAGGTCCTCCAAAACCAAATGACTTAGGTTTATGACAATATGGTAAGGGTCTCTCTAATATAAAGTAATTAGAACTTAGATAAATAACAAACATATTCCTTAAGTCGAGTAGCCCCAACATTTACTCTCTTTTAAATATATATGGGTAGGCAAGGGATTTAGCTCAGAGGTTTCACCGCCTGCCTTGCAAGCACAAGGACCTGAGTTCGATCTCCGAAAATAAAATAAAAAATAAATAAATATATATGGGGGACAGTTGTGTGAATTGAACTCATGGCCTTACACACGCTAAGCACACACTCCACTACTGAGCTACCCGCCCCCCAGCCAACTTCATTATTTAATGGGGTAGCAAAATATACTTTAATTTTAAAATAAGTAATATTCACATGGTTCAAAAATCTAAAAGTGAAAAAGACTACAGTGACAAATCTCCCACTCATTCACCCCCACCTATCCAGGTCTATTCAACCCAACAAGTAACAACTGTTAAGTTTTTTCTGTTCTTCTAAAGAATTTTTTAATGCACAGAAAAGCAAACCTTAATATATATTCTTTTATATTTCATTCTTCACACAAATGCTACACTATACACACTAGTCTGCCTAAAAAGAAACAAAAACATTGAAGAACATGCATTTATTTTTGGCTATGACAATGCTGCAATGAAAAAATTTGCTTAACAGTTTTAAAAGTATTTCAACAGAACAAATTCTTAAAAGCAGAATCGCTAAGGTCAATGTATGTGTACATCTGTAACATGGATATATGAAATAGATACAACCAAATGACCCTCTTTATGATTTGTACCAATATACACTCCCACCAACAACATCATTAAGCAACCCACTTATAAAAAAGTATGTATTGCTGGCTTATAAGCAAATAAAACAAACTCTAAAATTCAACATAAAAATAAAAATATAATGGAATGATCAGCTGAAATGTGAACAGTATACAGCAAGCAAGTGGAAATGCTGGATTTGTCCTGGGTGTAAATGTCTATACTAGTGTTCAGATCTGGAGACTAAGGCTGTCCAGGTAGGGGAAATGATACAAGTACTAAGGCTCCAGGATTAAGCCAAGACTCTCAAGTAGGGCTAACGCTGTCACAGGATGGGTCCAAGAAGAAACAAAAACAAATTTGCAGAGGAAACAACCTCTAAGTTAAGTACTGAGAATCTATGCATTAAATTTAACATTATGAAACCTAAGAAAATAAACCACCTTGAGTTAGAATCAGCACAAACTTTAGAAATCTACTAGCCTCAAATGTAATTTTCAAGCAGCACACAGAATGAGTAACAGCATGTCAGACCCAGAAGAAAATACTTTTGAACTAGAAGACAAATTTGAAGACACTGTCTAGATTCTAAGAGAAAGAAAAGGAGATATGTAACCATAAAAAAAAGATTAGAACAAAACAAGATCTAATATACTAATTGAAATGCAAAAGAGAATGAAAGAGAAGAAATAAAGAAGAGGAAACAATGTATGCTAAAGAAATGAAAATACCCTAATCTGTGCCCAGAAACAAAGGAGCAAAACAACGTAACTATAAAACATCAAAGATGAAAATAAGATCGAAAAAGCAGAACAAGGGAAAAGACACATTATCTACAAAGGAATGATAATCAGCCCAATATTTCTGTACACCAAGAAAGAAAACAAGAAAATGATTAAATAATATCTTCAAACTGCTGAGAAAAAATTATCAACCCAGAATTATATAACCGTAAAACTATCTCTGAATAGTTCTGAAGAGATAGAAAAACTTAAGAGTATGTCACCAACAGGCAGACTTTCACTAAAGAAATGATGTAAGATTATTTTCAAGAAGTGAACAGAGGGGAAAGAAACCTGAGCAAATATTGTATGAAACATTTAATGTGTGGTGTTTGAAAAGAACTAAAATAATAGAAAACTATAATCTACAAATCTAAAATAGGATGGTTAAGTATTGAAGTGCTCTAAGGTTCTTCTATTGACAATGAAGATTAAGTGAGAAGCAGAGGGCAAGGGATTTAGCTCAGTGGCACTGTGCCTGCCTGGCAGGTGCAAGGTCCTGAGTTCGACTCCCGGTACCAAAAGATAAAAATTAAAAAGCAGAAGAAAATATTAATGCTGTTTTAAAAAGACAATGAAAACAAACTCCTAAGCCAGTAGAGAGCTTAGATACACAGTTAAACAAGGTGAAAAAGATAAAAACAAAGTACAGAGTTCAGCAAGATTTTTTTAAAAAGTACACAGTTCAACAAGCCAAAAAAAACCTTAACCAAAATTGAAATGCAGAGGAATAAAAAAATACAAATGCATTTCTTCAGTAGTTTGTTTCAGAATTTAAGAAAAAAATTAAACAGAACCAAAATAATTGTGTATTTTTTCATGCATACAAATGAACAAATTGTCAATACTAAGTTTTGCTTTCAACACACAAGCTTTATAAAAATGAAAAGTTACCTTCTGTATCTTCATACTCCTGATCTCCCATGTGTACGGTACACACAGTTTTCTTCTTCATTTCTCCTTGAGAAAGCGTTTCCTATAGAATGAATTACAAGAGAGAATTTTTATGTTTGCCTTCTCCAAATAATATCAGTTAAAGTTAATTCTCCACTATAACAAATTATTTTACACATAAAAGGACACAGTATAAGCCAGTCTACAGACAATTCAATACTCATAGCACCTGCAATGAAGACAAAGTCTTATCTTAAAAGCTTTATATACCTACAAAGGCTATATAAATTGTGTAACAGACAAAATACAGTCCAAAACTAGAGAAAAAGAAGAGCTTGAATGGAGTTTTCAAGGATGGCCGGAGGGGCCAGGGATTTAGTTCAGTGGCAACACACCTGCCTTGCAAGAGCAAGGTCCCGATTTGAACCCCCGTACCAAAAAAAAAAAAAAAAAAAAAAGAAGAATGGACAGCGAAGAACTCAGAGTATCCAAAGAACAACAACACAGCACTGAGAAATGAAACACTATTTAGCTAAGCCAACCCGACAAAAACAAGTGAAAGTGCATCTGTGTACAATGAGGAGAGAGATGGGAACGCAAATGAAGAACTTCATCTGAGTGATCACACTGATAATTTATAAAATAAGCACAGCAATGCAAAACAAGTAGGGCTAAATGATAAATATCTAATGATTGACTAGAAGTTTATTTCAAACTCATTCTTCAAACAATTCTTTTGAAGAAAAGTAACATGATATAAGTTATGTATGGCTGTAGGTGTAACTTAGTGATAGAGCACTTGTCTAGCAGGTGTGAAGTCCTGGGTTCCATCCCCAGCACTGCAAAAAAAAAGGGTGATACATGTTTTGTGTTTTTTAAAGATTATTATGTCAAGTAAGTATAGAGTGGCTTACAGTGAGGAGAGATTGATTAAAACCAGAATGACTTGCACAGCTTGAGTATCTGGTTATGAAGTGAAAAGCAAGAAATTAAAGAGCTAAGTTTTTGAGATTTGGTGAGCAAATGTAGGAAAGGAGTCAGATTATTCTGACCTAAAGGACTAAGAAAATGATGATTCTAAGAGGTAAAAATGAACACTGAAACACTGAAAAGGAAGTCAATTTGGTAGTCAAAGGAAAGAAATGTATGAGGTAAAATTATTTTTTACTCAACTGTATTTGTTCTAGAACTGATACAAAACACATGACTGCAATGCAAGTTCCAACTACATTTTAGAATGTGTAGGCACAAAAAAATCCTACAAGCAGCCTACATATCCATTAACAGGTGAATGGATAGTCTGATATTTATATGCAATGGAGTACTACTCAGCCAAAAAGAAGGGTAAACTTGAGTCATTTGTAGGAAAACATGCAACTTTAAACCACAATTTTAAGTGATATAAATCAGACACACAAGATTAAATATATGGTTTCTCTTATATGACAAAGCCAAAACATAAAGAGCAAAATAAAAGATAACAGCAAATAGATAAATCTTTTGCAAAAGGAAAACAGACTAAGATATGGAGGGGCGAGGGTAGGGGAAGAATACAAAAAAAGAATTAAGATGTGTTAGTAATCATTATGTACTACAAACATGCACTAATAAAAAAGTTGAAAAAAGAAAAGAAATCTTCAATTTCTTCAATTGAAATCACTGATGTCTGAGGTAATTTTTCGAATTACTTTCTAAAATAATATAAACATGCTAATTTCTACCTTAAGGATGACTTGTCCAGGAAAATTCCTTATTTGATTAAATGAAAAATGCAAAGTCGCACTCTTTGGTTATAAAACCAACTGCAGGTGCATTCCTTCCATCCAGCCAGCCAATTGTTAACTTGAGGTAAACAGTATTTGGGGGTGCGGTGGGGAAGAGACAGCTCAGTGTTAGACCCATGTGCACAGCATGAACAATTACTCATGAGGCCCTGGACTTACTTCCCAGCACTCCCCCCAAAAATTATTTTTTAAAAAAGTTGTTAGGGAAAATAAGTTTCAAAAATACCATGAGAGGGCCAGGGATTTAGCTCAGTGGTTCCGCCGCCTGCCTCACAAGTGCAAGGACCCAAGTTTGATCCCCGGTACCAAAAAAACAAAACAAAACAAAAAATATCATGAGAATAGGGCCGGGGATTTAGCTCAGGTCCTGAGTTTGATCCTGGCTACCAAAAAAAAAAAAAAAATCCCATGAGAATCAAGATAGCAGAGTGGTGAATGGAGGCAAAATTCAGCCACTTTGAGATCTGGAACCTAGAAATGAGAAATAACAATTTGAGGAAGGAAAAATAAAGTAGATCACCAGGAATTGGGAAAGAACTGACAGGAAAATTAAAAGTTACCAGAAGTCTGAGAGATGGACCACAACACAGAGAAAGAGAGAAAGTCTTGGGCTCTTTCCCCAGTTCCCAAAGAGGACAGCCTGGGGCTCTGTAAGAAGCAAGATCAGGGTGGGGCACTGCTGGGAGTAAAGGCTGCAACAGACTGGGCCAACAACACAAGGTTCCAGTGGGTTGTGAGTTTCAAGGAGCCCATGGGGTTTTACTCCAAGGTGAGTCCTTCCAAATGGCAGGCAACAGGTAGATAGGGATCCAGCACAAGTACCCACCATGCTGCTAGAAAGTGTTTAGCCGGGTACCATTCTGGGAAGGAGTTATTTGAATCTAGGATTTAGAACAGCTAGGGGATGGCTTCACTTCAGTGTTTCAGTGTCACTCTCCTACAGTGACTGGGTGAGAGACAGCCAAGGGAGAAAGCCATACACAAGGTATATGGAAATTAGCAAGAGCAATTAGGCAAGAAAAAGAAGTAACAGGAATATATATATATGTGTATATATATGAATAGATATGTATATATGAATATATATATATATACATATATATATAGGAAAAGTCAAATTATCATTATTTGCAGGTGACATGATCCTCTAAGAAAGAAGATCCAAAAAACCCACCAAAAGACTCTTAAGAGTAACCAAATTCAAGGGCCGGGGATTTAGCTCAGTGGTTCCAACACCTGCCTTGCAAGCGCAAGGACCCAAGTTTGATCCCAGGTACCAAAAAAAAAAAACAGTAACCAAATTCAGTAATGATGCAGGATACAAAAATCAACACACAAAAATCAGCATTCCTGTACATCAATAATGAACCACTGAGACATTACAGAAAAAAAATAGCATTCACAATGGCACTGAGAAAAACTGAATACTTAGGAATTAACCTAAATAAGGAAGTGAAAGACCTCTGCAACAAAATCTACAGCACTCTGAAGGACGATATCAAAAAATGAAAAGATAAGCCCTGTTCCTAGATAGGCAAATATAGTCAAAATGGCTACACTTCCAAAACTAATATACAGATTTAATGCAGTCTTGACAGAACTAGAGAAAATCCTAAAATTCATGTGGAAGCAGAAGAGACTTAGAATAGCAAAAGCAACCCTGGGCAGCAAAAGCAAGAGAGGAAGCATCACAATCTTGGACTCCAAGTTATACTACAAAGGTACAGTGATAAAAAACAACAACATAGTAATTGCAAAAAAGACAAACAAGAACAACAACAAAAAACCAGACCCAAAGATCAATGGAACAAAATATAGGATGCAGAAACAACTCCAGGCACATTCAGCTACCTGACCTTTGACAAGGGTGACAAAAACTTACATTGGAGGACAGATAGCCTCTGTAACAAAATAGTGCTGAGAAAACTGGCTAGCCACATGCAGAATACTGAACCGAGACCCACTTCTCTCATCATGTACTACACTAAAATCAAAACTGATCAAAATCTAAATATTAAAACAGACACTTAACCTACTGGAAGATAAAATAAGTAAATCTCTTGAAGACATAAGTGTAGGCAAGGACCTTCTGAATGTAACTCCAACTGCACAAGAATAATACCAAGAAACAACAAATGGTATTATATCAAATTAAAAAGCCTCTATACAACAAAGGAAGCAACTAATAGAACAAAGAGACAACCTATGGAATAGGAGAAATTTTTTGCCAGCTATTCATTGGACAGAGAACTAGTACCTAGAATATATAAAGAACCTCCAAAAATTAGACCTCCAAAACAAAAAACTCAATCAAACTATGGACAAGTGAAATGAACAGACACTTCTCAGAAGAAATACAAATGGCCAATAAACAGATAAATATTCAACATTATTGGCCATTAGAGTAATGCAAATTAAAACAAAACTGAGATTCCATCTTACTCCAGAAAGAATGGCTATCATCAAGAAATCAAATAGTAACAGATGCTGGTAGGGTAAAAGGAATCTTTCTACATTGTCACGGGGAATGTAAACCAGTACAGCCACTATGGAAATCAGGATGGAGTCTTGTCAAAGAACTAAAACTAGAAATTCTATTTGACCCAGTTACTGTATTCTTCTTCTAGGTATCTTTTCCAGTAAGAGTTAAAGAAATTGTATTACAGTGATACATGATGACAGCAGCATAATTCACAACTGCTAAATCCTGGAAGTATTCTGTATGTTCATCAACAGATGAATGAAGCAAATGTGGCATTTGTACATAATGGAGTACACACAACAGAGTACTACTCTGCCATAAAGGATAAGTTTGAGTCACTTGCAAAAAAATGGATCCACTTTGATGCCGTAATGTTGAGTGAAATAAATCGAGACATACAATTTAAGTATTCCATGGTTTCACCTATGAGAAACCCCACATAAATAAAGAGCAAAATAACAGATAATAGGAAAAAAGGTTCCTAGGAGTTCTTGGTTTATGAATCAAAACACTGTCACTTTATTTCTGCATATGTGATTTATAGTATCTGAAAGTTTTTTTAAAGTGTATAAGCTTTAGATTTCACTAACCAGGGCTCTCTCCCCACTCATGTTAATAGTACTTTGTATTTTTTTCAAGTAAATAAACCTTTGTACATGAAAAAAATAAACTGCAAAAGCATAAGAAACTCAGTAGCACATGTAAGAATGATTTCAAGATTATAACAAATTAAGATACAGGAGTCTCAAAATGATAGAACAGTGAATGCTAGCAACTCAGCCTTTCCAGGAGAAAGTGTCTATAGAGTCTGGAAAT